TACAGTATCTACCGATCTATCGATCTATCCTACATATTGTTCCAGGAAGTGCATGTTGGGTAGATTCACCTTTAAATACAAACTGAATCAAATTCTTCCCCATCCCTAAGCAGAGGACACCCAGGGAGAAACAGACATAACTCATGAATCTGTTTCGTTTTCTTGGTGCATGCCTGAGCAAATGTTTCAAGGTGAGCCATTTGTCAGTCTTAGATTTAGGTAGACTTTGACAGTTATTTCCTTGGTGTTTGGAAACCTAATTTGGTAGCGATTGGGAGACCCTGATTAGGAGCTGTTACCTCTCATGCTAATGAGTTGATTTTTAAAAAAAGATTGCTTGTCCTCAACTTGTGTTTTGTGTGTGTTGAGCGAGATGGGACTCATTCAAGATCTCTCAACAAAGCAATAAATATTCATACCTCTGATTTACACAAACACTAGTCTCCGCTATGTTTTGTCAGATTTTATGACCCATTTATCGTCTCATCTTCTCCTGGTTAAAGGTAATTATTTCTTAATTAATCTTGTCTATATCCTTTGCCAATCTGGCTATAAAAAAATGCATTCATCACAGGCAATGGTCACAGCAGATCTGCCCATATCACAGTATGCATCAAATCTAGTCATATCTACTTGCTGTAAGGTCTGCAGGTTGTTTTATAAAAACATTTGGGAAAGGAGAAGATGTGAATAGAATCTGAAAGCAGTGGGTGAGACATAGAGTCTATACACCCCATGGATCTATTTTGGGCTAGCTTTCAATTCATTCAGCTCTAGGTTCAGACCCTTACATTACAGGCTTTCTGATTCTGCAACACGGTACAGTGGAACCTCCGTTTTCGAGCGTCTCAGAAGTCAAACGATTCGGAACCCGAATGTCGAAAACCCGGACGCGAATGCTTCCATTTTCGAACGCGCCTCAGAAGTCGAACGGTTTCCCAGGCACATTTCTCCATTTTTCTCAATGGAACTTGCTGACTGCCCATTGCGCCTCAGTTGTCCAACGTTTCGGAAGTTGAGCTGTCTTCTGGAATGGAGTACATTCGATAACCGAGGTACCACTGTATTTGCCAAGGTTTAGAGGCTGAGGCCAAGGTTTAGATGTTGAGACCTCACACCAGGTCTTGGTGTTTCGATTTCTGGGAATGGAGTTGAGAGATGACCTAACCTGGGGAGAAAACAGTAAAGACCTGATGAAGAGTGCACAGCAGAGGTTATATTTTCTGAGAATCCTATGGAAAAATAATCTCTCAAAGGACCTGTTGATGGCATTTTACCATTGTACCGTTGAGAGTGTATAAACTTATGGTCTGTGTGTGTGGTTTGGGAGCTGCACGGTCAGGGAAAAAACAATGCTGTCCAGGGTTGTAAAGACGGTGGAGAGAATAATTGGGTGCGCTCTTCCCACCTTGGATCAGATCTACGTTTCCAGGTGCTATAAGAAACCTGCAGAGATAGCGCAGGATAGTGTTCACCCCAGAAATGATCTCTTTCAGCTTCTGCCTTCTGGAAGAAGGTACAGGGTTATAAAGACTAGGACTAACTGAGAAACAGTTTCTATCCAAATGCGATTTAGGTTTTAAACACAATGTAAGGTAGTCTCTATGGGAGTATATTGTATTTAATTATGGGGTATCAGAGTTTTTAGGGGGCTAACCAGGCTGGGATAGCTGGGATAGTAGGTTTGTTGGTTTTTGAATGTCTGATGTAGATTTTTTCAATTTCGTTGTTCTGTATGGGATAATGACAATAAATATTATCGTATCATATTGTATTGTATCGTATCGTAGGCTTCAAAGCATGTCTGCATCTGGAAGGTACCAGGCTGAGAGAGCTAATGTAGAACATAGATATCCCAAAGCAGAGAGGTTATTGGAGGCATTTGTGGTCAGGTCCACAGAATAGAAGGTGGCAGGATCCCCAAGAATGTGCCCTACGGGGAGCTGGCTTCAGACACCATGCCGGCTGGCAGACCAACTCTGCCCTACAAAGATGTCATCCAACGTGACATGAAGGATGGCAACATCAACCCTGCTGGGTGGGAATCCCTTGCAGGTGACCACAGTGCCTGGAGACAGACAGCTTGTGCATCCATAGAAGTGACCAGATGAGGAACGACCACTGGGAGGAGCATAGAGAGAAGAAATGCCATGGTGCACCTGTAGCAGCACAACCAGATGCCTTCACCTGCCCCAGCTGCAACAAAACATGTTTCTCCCGTATCGGTCTCTGCAGCCATTGCAGGCTCTGTACCCTTCCAACGGTTTGACCTCATTCCCGAAGGCGCACTCCTCCATTGTCTCCCAAGACAGACAGTCGCCAATCAAGTTATCCTATGCAAATCCCAATTTGCAAGGAAGAGATATGGTCTTTTGTCAGCTTATAAGGAAAATGAAGAAGAAACTTTGCTAACAATGATGGCATTTGCTGCGAGCACAGAATTCAGGTTGGGTAGTTTTTTCTTCTTCTTCTTCTTCTTTCAATGCCACTGGAAAATGAACACAGCCTTGGCTTCAACCCAACAACTTTCTCCTCCATCCTCCTCCTCCGAGAAGCTCTCGAACTATAAATTCCACCTACATCATGACAGCTCTCTTTGATGCGAGTGATTATATCCTTTCAAGATGTTTTGAGTGCTGAAAAGAAACAGGAACATTACGGGAAATGGCTCTTGGGAACACATTGGATGATCAATTGTCACCCAAAATTGCCTGCAATTTTCATGGGGTGGGTGGCATTTCATTACTTTTTCCTTTTTTAAAAAAAAACCGATGGGAAAAGCCGCCACGTCTAAAATTGCAAGGTGCTACAATGGATTGTGAATCTCAGCAGACACATTGCTATATGGCCATTGTGCTGGAATTATGGAGAGGGGCTGCTAGTAGGGGTTGAGAGGGGACAGGCTATTAAGGCAGGCAATGGGCAGCAGCGAGGGATGGGGGTTGGGGAGAAGCTGAAATCTTTGGCTGCCATTTTATCCCTTGGAGAGAAAAAACGGATTATGACTTGGAGATCGAGCACTGAGTATTGGATGACAGAAGATTGTGCAGGTCTGTGACCTGAGCAGGTAGGAAACAGTTGCATCTGGAATGTGTAGAACAGGGGTCAGCAAACTTTTTCAGCAGGGGGCCGGTCCACTGTCCCTCAGACCTTGTGGGGGGCTGCACTAGATATATATATATATATATATATATTGGGGGGAAAATAAATATACGAATTCCTATGCCCCACAAGTAACCCAGAGATGCATTTTAAATAAAAGCACACATTCTACTCATGTAAAAGCACACTGATTCCCGGACCATCTGCAGGGCAGATTTAGAAGGTGATTGGGCCAGATCAGGCCCCCGGGCCTTAGTTTACCTACCCATGGTGTAGAACATGCATGAAACATAAATAATTATTTATGGATTACAATCCAGTCTAACTAGCTTGTTGTCTTTGTCTATGGAGTTTTCTTCACAGGGATACTGGAGTGGCTTGCCAGTTCCTGCTCCAGGTGGATCACGTTTGGTCACATCATGAGAAGAGAAGACTCCCTGGAAAAGACCCTGATGTTGGGAAAGATTGAGGGTGCAAGGAGAAGGGGACGACAGAGGACAAGATGGTTGGACAGCGTTCTCGAAGCTACCAGCATGAGTTTGACCAAACTGCGGGAGGCAGTGGAAGACAGGAGTACCTGGCGTACTGTGGTCCATGGGGTCATGAAGAGTCGGACACGACTAAACGACTAAACAACAACAACAACAACAACAACAACTAGCTTACTTTTCTGGGGCAGCCCTCTAAGCTGTGGATTTGCCTCTCCACAAAGGTGTGTCTGGCATCTTTCTTGTGTAGCATTCGCCATATGCTGAAGACACATCTCTTTAACCTCTTTTAGCCTTTAGCTGCACACACTCTGTTCTTTGGATTGTAAAATGTTCTAACTGTTCTTAATCTTGTTTTTTCTCTTGTGTTTTTCTGCTGTGAACCACCCTGAGATCTATGGATGGAGGGTGGTATACAAATTTTAATAATACCGTATTGGCCTGAATATAAGCCTCACTTTTTTCCCAAATTCTGACTGTGAAAAGTTAAAGTGGAGCTTAAATTCGCAACCTTACAAAAAATGGCTTTTAAGATATTGCTGCTGAAACTGACAGAGAGGTGTAAGTGCCTGCAGAATTTTAAGGGAGCAGCTTATATTTGAGTATTGTCTCCCCCCCCCCCTTGAATTTTAAAGGTGTGGCTTATATTCGGGTGCAGCTTATATTTGGACCAATATGGTAATAACAATTTTGTATTGTTGGAATCCTGGGTGGGTAAGAATTGTATTATTATTATTATTATTATTATTATTATTATTATTATTACTGCTGCAATTCCAATGTGAGGAGAGGGATGGAGGCCAGCAGAGAATCTTTGGACAATTGTCTGCATAATGACCCTCTTGTTTGGGATGGGGGAAATAAAGAGGAAGAAAATCACAGAAATCTCCTCAGAAAAATGCCTTCTGGGAAACTTTGGGTTCTGCCTTTGACGTACTATTCCCTTTTCCCCTCCAGACTTGGAGTCCTCTGTGTGCCTCATTATTCCTCACCAAAACCCCAAACCTAAGAGTATCCGCCTTTGTCTCAGCACTGAGGGAAACCCTCAGAGATGACAGCAGGGGACAGGAAAGTGTCAGACTAGACGTTTGGGGTGGAAATTTCCAGCAGTTGCTCTAAGACACTGATTTGCATTCATCCAGACCCACTCCGAGAAAAATAAGCATCTTCAAAAGGAGTTGTGGTTCTCCCTTGACAGAATGCGAGTAAGGCCTCCTAAACCTTATCTCAGCCTTCAGCAACATGGCGGCCTCCTGATGTTCCGGCCTACAATTCCCATCAGCCTCAGCTCAGTTGTTTAGTCATGTCTGACTCTTCGTGACCCCATAGACCAGAGCACGCCAGGCACTTCTGTCTTCCACTGCCTCCTGCAGTTTGGTCAAACTCATGCTGCTAGCTTCGAGAACACTGTCCAACCATCTCGTCCTCTGTCGTCCACTTCTCCTTGTGCCCTCCATCTTTCCCAACATCAGGATCTTTTCCGGGGAGTCTTCTCTTCTCATGAGGTGGCCAAAGTATTGGAGCCTCAGCTTCAGGATCTGTCCTTCCAGTGAGCACTCAGGACTGATTTCCTTCAGAATGGATAGGTTTGATCTTCTTGCAGTCCATGGGACTCTCAAGAGTCTCCTCCAGCACCATAATTCAAAAGCATCAATTCTTTGGTGCTCAGCCTTCTTTATGGTCCAGCTTTATCAGCCTTAGCTAGCACAGCTTAAATCCAGTGACTGTTTTAAACAACAGAGGTGAAATTCCATGACTTGTTATGCCACAATTGTTTTGCCCTGGGGCCTATTCCACTTCTGTTATTCTCTAAGCCAGAAGTGCCCTTCAGATGGCAATGCCGTGGCAAATGTTAAGTTTAGTGATTTAATTAACTGAAATTGGGAGTGCTTAAATGCATTACTGTGTGTTTAATTTTGGAATTTTCTCCAGTAACTCTCATGTGATTGGTGAGCTCTGGTCATGTGGGAGGCATCTAATTACGTTCTCCATTTTGTTTTGTGAGTGAGTGACTTGACTGCAATGACTGCATCTCCATGAACATTGAAGAAGAGACAGGACTCCACTACATTAGTCCGAAAAACAGCATTTTGAATGTGTTATAAATTTGCAACACCAGATGGCACTGGAGAGCAAAACAAATTTCTGTGCAGTTTTCCATAGCTTTTTCTTTCTTTATTTTGTTTTAACAATTTAATTTCTGACATTTCTGGGGGGGTTTTCCCTCCTGGGTGTGGATTCACCCACAGTGTTCGATAACTCTCCTGCTAAGTGCAATAGAGGAGTGGAGTGCTAATGTTTCTGTGTGAATATCTGTGACAGAAGAAGTATCGAAGTTGATGTTTTCCTAAAGAAGCGATAAGGAGAAGTCTGCTGGAAGAAGAAAGTGGAAACCACTCAGAAGGAACCGCATGGCTGAGCTGAGTAATGTGCAGAAGGTTGTGTGCAAATACAGTCATACATCGGGTTGAATATGCTTCATGTTGAGTGCGTTCAAGTTGCGCTCCGCGGCAACCCGGAAGTAATGGAGTGCATTACTTCTGGGTTTCGCCGCTCACGCATGCACAGATGCTCAAAATGACGTCATGTGCATGCGCAGAAGCAGCTGTGCCGTCGCTAGTTACGTTTGCTTCTGGATGCAAACGGGGCTCCAGAACGGATCCTGTTCGCATCCCGAGGTACCACTGTACTGAAAGAGGAAGTTTGGATGCTTAAGGAAAAATCTGCAATCTTCAACGAAGAAAATCCCATGCATGGATAGGCATGTGAATGCAAATATTTTGCATACATTCTTCTTTAATTATATGTTCTGCAAGTCAAAGCTTTTGAATGGTTTAACAAGCTTTTGGACACTGTTTTGTAATTCTAAGAAGAGAGTCAGTATTGCTCGTGATTTGGCTTCCTAGCTGCAATTTAGCTACTCTGCCAATACAAAGGACCCAGGTTAAGTCACTGGCATCTCCACACCTGAAATCCCAGAGTCAGTTTCAACAATATTTGGCTAGGTGGGTCCAAAGCTGTGGCAGCAGCTGAAAGTTATCCTATGATACCGCCGTCATCAAGAGATGGAAACCCATGTGAAAAATTAGGCCCTGAAATGGCCTGGCAAGTTCCACAATTCAGTACTCAAAACTGGAAATTGCACTCTGATGTTTCTTCTACTCTGGAACTCTTTTTGTAAAAAAAAAGTATAGGCGAATTTTGTTTGTGCCCATCTCTCCATCTAATTGTATGTGGGTATATTAGTATATTCATAGCCTTGGCAGAGCTTGCTCTCAAGTGTGTTAATAGCCGCGTTTCTTTGGTATTTATAATTCATGGAAATAGCCTCGGGATGCAAAATCTGCCTAGCTGATCATGCCTTGGTGTGTCATACTCGCTCTTCAGGGCTGCAGTTGTCAAGTGCAGAGATGTTCCTTCCCCTTCTTCTCTTCCTCCTCTCCTCTTGCCCAAGGCAAGAACAACACCATGAGTGTCAAAGCCCGCGTCCTTTCAGTCTTTTCCTTTTTTAAAAAAAATAACACATAGGATCAGTTCCGTTTTGGCATCTGAGGGATGCTTGCAAATTAAACGGATAATCCTGGCGCTCTAATGAGAGCGGGTTAAGTGTGTGCCATCGTACATCCTCATTACTATCTTCCTGACTGGATTGGAAGTCTCTTTTACCATTCGCCATCTGCAGGCGCAAGCCTTTCACACCAAGGCCACAGCGACAGCCTGCTCATTAGGAAACTGCGATTTTGTTGCAATATGTAGGTCAGAGTGGTGAGGCTCAACTGGTCCCACAGGCTGGTTATTATTAAAGCCCCATTCAAGTGGCAGAACTCTGTGTTGTATTTGGGGTTCTAATTAGGGATGGACTAGCTCCCTTCAGTTCAGTTCAGAATCAGCTCGATAGAATCAAAGAGTCGGAAGGGACACTGTGGATAATCTAGTCCAACCCTCTGCAATGCAGGGATATGCAGCTGTCCCCGACAGGGATCGAACCTGCAACCTTGGCGTTATCAGCACCATCCTCTAACCGACTGAGCAATCCATGCCATATTTAAGAGCTTTTCATTTCATTTCACCTCCCTTTTCATCTGCATACTGCCTTTCTGTATTGCTACCCGCAAGACAAAGCTTTTCAAAATGTAGTATAAACACCAACAACTGGGAAACACTGGCCTGCGAGCGCTCCAGTTGGAGAACAGCCTTTACCAAAGGTGTCGTGGGCTTTGAAGACACTCGAACTCAGGACGAAAGGGAGAAATGTGCTAAGAGGAAGGCATGCTTGGCAAACCCTCACCATGATCAACTTCTGCCCAGAAACCTGTGTTCTCACTGTGGAAGGATGTGTGGATCCAGAACTGGCCTCCACAGTCACTTACGGACTCAATGTTAAAACCGTGTTCATGGAAGACACTCTTACTCAGCTACAAGTGATCACCAAAGAAGATTCTCAGGACAGTTTGTAAGCCACAGAAGCAACAAAATATACAACAAAGATCACACATCCTATAACAATCCACTTCAATGCAGATCTGTCATAATAAAAGTATGACTTTAAGTAATATTCAATAACCCATTTAGAAGGCAATAATGCACAATGAAATTAACTCCCAGAATATCAGCAAATAACAAATAAACTGAAATTCACTCTAAAAATTACAACAAATTATTACTAGACTGTAATCAATAAAAACAGCAGCAAAGTCACAATATGCAAACTCCCACAATACATAAAAGAACATGGGAAAAGCTTGAACTGAGCACTGGGTAGAGCATGAGACTCTGAATCTCAGTGTTGTGGGTTTGAGCCCCACATTGGGCAAAATATTCCTGCATTGCCGGGGGTTGGACTAGATGACCCTCATGGTCCCTTCCAACTCTACAATTCTATGAAGTCACAACGTTTATAAAATTACAAAATCCACTAACATAAACTGGTCCCTTGGTCCAGATTTAATGTCTAATCCTCAATCTTCTTGCTTGTGTACAAAGAGATTCCTGGGAGATGTTTGAGCTACCCATGGGGCCAAAATGGATGGAATGAGCTCAGGCTTGCAAGAGAGGTTGAAAATAATTTTAAAAAAATAAATGTAATGAAGATGATGTATAGATGGTATCTGACACCTGTAAAGTTAGCTAAAATGTATAGAATGAGGGACAAAACATGCTGGAAATGTAAAGAATCATATGTGGTGGACTTGTGATAAAGTAAAAGTATTTTGGGAGTTGAGCTACAATGAATTAAAGAAGATGTTTAGATATACTTTCCCTAAAAAACTGGAAGCATTTTTGCTAGGTTTGATGGGAAATGAGATTGCAAAGGTAGATCAAAGTCTATTTATGTATGCTACAGTTGCAGTGAGAACTTTGTTGGCCCAAAAATGGAAGTTACAAGAAGTACCTACTATTGTGGAGTGGCAGACGAAGATGATGGACTTTGCAGAACTGGCCAAACTGACTTGCAGGATTCGAGACCAGGACGAAATTCCAAAGGGACTGGAGTAAATTTATTGCATATTTGAATGACAACTGCAAAACTCTGAAGACACTAGCAGGATTGAAATAAATCCTACAATGTGGACAACAGCGTAATGATCTAAATTGCGCGATTGGATTTGAAATGGAATACCTGTTGAAGGGAAGGAGGAAAGTCGTAAGGTCGGCAGAGGAGAAAGTTTTATTGTTTGATATTGTAATGTTGGAAATGTTGTTTAAGGAGGAAAATAATAAAAAATTATTAAAAAGAAAAAGGAAATAATAAAAAGGTGTCTTCAGCTACGTTCAAAGCAAGAGGAAGAAAAAGCAAGTAGTAGGCCCTATGCATGGGAGAAGATGGAGAAATGCTATTGGGTGACAGAGAGAAAGCAGAACTTCTCAACCCCTACTCTGCCTCTGTCTTCACCCAAAAGGAAAGCAGTGCCCAACCTGGTGATAACATTGTTGTTCAATGTCTATAAATGACTTGCATGAAGGAGCTGAATGGGTGCTAATCAAACTTACAGATGACACCAAACTGGAAGGTTAAATAGTGCTGCTGAAGACAGATTTGCGATTCAAGATGACCTTAACAGATTAGTGAACTGGGCCAAAACTAACAAAATGCATTTCAGTAGAGACATGTGTAACATTCTACACCTACACCACAAATACAAAATGGGGGCACCTGGCTTTCTAGTAGTACATGTGAAAAGGACCTAGGGGTCTTAGTGGTAGACCACAAGCTTAGCATGAGACAATAGTGTGATGCAGCAGCAAAAAAAATAGTAGTAGTAGTAGTAGTAGTAGTAGAAGAAGAAGAAGCAGCAGCAGCAGCAGCAGCTAATGCAATTCTAGGCTGCATCAACAGCAGTCAAGTGTCCAGATCAAGGGAAGTTATAGTACCACTCTATTCTGCCCTGGTCAGACCACATTTGGAATATTGTGTCCAGTTCTGGGCACCACAATTGAAGAAGGATGTTGACAAGCTGGAGGGTAACCAAAATGACCAAAGGTCTGGAAATCAAGCCTTATGAGGAACGGTTGAAAGAGCTGGGTATGTTTAGCCTGGAAAAGAGGAGACCGAGAGCAGATATGATAACCCTCTTCAAATATCTAAACGCTATCCAACTCTACAATTCCATTATTCTAAGTCTGGCGTGTGCGTTTGCTGATGGTGCCAGATACATGCATGTTGTTATTAGTAGGTGTTGCTGCTGTTATTGATATTAATTTTTTGTCTTTTAATTTAGTGTCTTTCTTATGATTTATGTGGAAATTGTTTTATGGGGTTGTGTACTTCTTGAATTTTTATATATTGTTTATGACTGTTACATTTTGAATTAGTCCCCCCCCCATGCTGTAAGCCACCATGAGCATGGTTTTAACTCTGGAAAGGCGGAACATAACTAAAATGATGTATGTATGTATGTGTGTATGTATGTATGTTATTGCACATGAGAATTGTAGTTTAGTTTACACTGCCCCTCCCTACTGCATTAACCATGGTGGACAACTGCTTGGAAATTCAACATTCTCACTCCGCAACAAATCCTTCAAGAGACAAGAGGGTTTGGATTTGAAATATGGGTAGTGGACAACCATCATGAGAAAATAAAAGGTTTTGGGGAAGCAATCAAGAGAACTTGACCCAAATTAGAGAAAGGGACTGGTGATTAGAGATGTGTCATGTTCCCCACACAACCTTTTGTGGCTGGCCCCCCTGGCACTTTCTCAAAATTCCCAACACCCAATGACCCCAAAAGTGTATTGACCCTGCGTTTAATGCTACAGGTAGATGACAGAGACCAATGTGAATGCTCAATGTTTTTTGCTGATACAATGAAACACATGGAAAACACAGACACATACACACAACTTGGAAATGTGGGCTTTGTTGTGGGTTTGTTTGCTTTTTTTGTACTTTTCTTAATAGCCAAATTCTCCACTGTAGGAATTGCAAAGCTGTTAAGACATGTGGCTATTTCACGTTGCATCAAGCAAAACTTCAAACATATTAAATGATTTAAAATGGCAAAAAAGAGGCCGCAGTCTCCAGTGGCCGATTCTTATCTAGGGTTTTGTACTTGGGAACTGAGACCCAAGAATGTGAGAAGACACTTGCCTACAATTTATAAAGGTGTAAATCATGACTTTTGCCAGCAACATACCAGCAAGGCTGGGGGCCTTGCCCCTCTACATTTTGCAAGCAAAAACTTCTAGCATTTGCATATTCTTTGCTTTTAATTAACTGCGAGGGAGTTGGGTCATTTTCCTACAGGCTGGGAGGTTCTTTCTCCACTGTAAGGCTGAAGTTCTAATTATCTGTGATGACCAAGAATTCCCACCGCAGTTATCACAATGGGAGGGATATTAGCTTTGCTATCCTGACCACAGTGTTATTAAAGCTCCTGACCCTGTTGTGTGGGAGTCTTACTCTGAAGATCAACAGACCCAACGTTTCATGTTACTCCCTCCTTTGACTTGGGCCATTTATAATCACTTGCATAGATAGTTATTCTTCCAGGAAATAAGTTCTTAAAGAATAGAGTTTTCCAGATTCCACATTATATGCCCTGATCTAGCATTTGTGTGAGGACTGTATGGGGCAGGGGGAAAGACCCAGCAACTGATCTTGGCTTTTCCAGTTATTGTTATTTATTCAGCCCTGTAAATTTTGAGATCAAGACACCTAAAAGATTGTCTCATCCCTTATATAAACCCGGCTGATCACTGCATTCTGCAGAAGAGGGCTGTTAGAATTCCTGCTCCATGATTGCAGTCATGGGATTGTTGTCTATCACATGACGGTATATGTTTTGACTCCACAGAGTGGGAAGTGATGGAGACAGGATATTTGTGTTACTGTGTTCCGTGAAGTGGGACTATTCTCCTTTGTTTTTTCTCTTTGCTGTCTGATGCTAGAAAGAGAGCCATGTTGCAGTGTGTGTTTATATGTAAATAAAGTAGATTAGCCAAAATGCTGAGTTGCTGAGGTCTTTTACACATGATGTGCAAACTCTGCAGATCCCTAAGTGTGCCAGTGTCGGGTGGCATCGGTCGCTGTGATGTTCAGGCAGAAGAAAGCTTTTGAAGCTCCTGAACGATCAACCAGGAGGGAGAGAGCATGCCAGTCGGGCATGTGTCTCTGCCAGGGTCCTACTCGAGTGTAGGCTGAGCTCCTGACAAGGGCATCCATCCTGCAGAATACCATCTCATCAGGAGATCTGCTGTGTACAATGTTGGAATCGTGCCTTAAGTGTGGTGGAAATCTTCCATTCCATATCAGACAGGAATTGTATCCATTGTACTTTCCGACATTGTTTTTATATATGTGACTGTTTTCACAGAATCATAGAATTGCAGAATTGGAAGGGACCTCGAGGGCCATCTAGTCCAACCCTCTGCAAAGCATGAATCTCAGCTAAAGCACCCATGACAGATGGCCATCCAACCTCTGCTTAAATACCTCCAACGTGCTTTTCTTGGATTGTGAAATCACTCTGAGAATCTTCATAAAACAACAGTTTTAACAGTTGTGTTAAAACAGTTGTTTTAACAGTCATAAAACAACAGCAACAATTTATACGTGGGAGTATTATACCTATTGATATTAGAGTTAATAGGAATTCCTCACTCTCCTTCCCTCAATGAATCCCACACTGTTGATACTTAAGTCTAAGCCCTTAGGACACAGACCTGCTGCTTTAATTTGCTTGCGATCATCTCTAGTGCTCTGCAGAAAAATTCTCCCTTGCTTTCCCCCTACTTTCTATCAATTAATGAGAAAAGAAATTACATTTGAAAATTATCAAAGGGGAGAGACCATTTCAGAGCAGCTCTCTCACAGGTGCGGTGCATGTGAGGTGGCCAAAGCATGAGTGTGAATGTCCTTTCTTTCATTCTACAAATTGTCACTTCAGTAGCCTGCACTCGGCAGCCTTCCAGGTTTTCTGCACTTCCAGAAAACCCCACAACATCCTCAACTAGGATTTCCTGCCTTACAGACACCTGGCAGCTGTTTATTGTAATTGTAAGTAGTCCCCCCCTCCCTTTACCATTGAAGAAATGAGCCAGGAAATATTCTTACAGAGCTTTTTAAAAAGGAGGGCAGAGAGTGCCCAGATTTCAGGCATTTGGTTGGCAACCTGCCTGGCTTCCTGTTCATATGATAAAGTTCAGGAGAGAATGCCCACAGGACTATTTCAGATCAGAAGGTGGTGGCAGCCAGGGAGGCTGAAGAATGCTGGAGGAATGTTAACTGGAAAGAAAAACACCCATACCATCCCCAACCGCCTTGCAACAAGAAGGTAAGCTCGATGTCACACACACCATAATTCTAAAGTG